TTTCAAAATTGTCACTTGCACAGTGTTCCTTGGGATGTTTAGAGCGCGGGGAATCTCTTTTCTATCCAAATCCAACTTCAAACTTCTCTGCAACACATTGAACCTGCCCGGTTTGTTCCTTGTTCTTCATTTTGCTCTCTGCGCTTTAAACAAACCTCTGAGACAGAGCAGTTGCATTTATACGGTGACTTGATTACACGCAGGTGGATTCTATTTATCATCATAAGCTATTTAGGTCAACATTGGATCATTCAGAGATCCTCTCTGAACTTCTGAAGAGAGTTTGCTGCACTGACAGTAAAGGGGCTTATTCATTTTGGATGCCTCACTCCTCAGTTTTTAGTTGTTAAAAAAATGTCAATATCCAATAACTTTTGTTCCACTTGATGATTGTGTTCCACTTCTTGTTGATTCTTGACAAAGAATTATAATTTTATATATTTACCTTTGATGCCTGAAATTAGGCAACAGGTTGAAAAGTTCAAGGGGGCTGAATACTACCTACTATAAATTTTTGTGCATGTCTGGTCTGACCTTGAGATCCAGTGAGGGTTTCTGAAGGCCTTCTGTATTTATTATCAGTCTGCGGATGTTTTTCTCATCAGGCTTATTTGTGTGGCCTTTAATCATGGCTACACACCCGCCTCTGTGACACGTGAATCACAGAACAAAAGAGTAAAGATGACACAATGAAAATAAAAGTGAGGCTGCAAATGGCGACTAGATAACCCTGTAGCCAAAGACATGGCATTGAACTCGGAGGGGTCTAACAGGTGTTCTGCTATTTGTTGTTAACAATATGGTTCCCCTGTCAATGATTACAAATCATGTAAATAAATATAAAATATCAGGGAGAAGCTGGAAATCAGATATAATGAGGTGAAACATTTGTCTGATTAATTGTTCAGTGGGGCTTAAAGACTGACATAGTCTGAATCTATACATGCCAAGATTAAAGCACGTAGACTATTAATGCCTGAAACATTTGAAAGATTTGTTGTGAAGTAATGAAAGAGAAAGGTTTGTTGGTGTGTTGAACCAGACTATCAAGGGATTCTAGACAGAAATGTGTTGCCCAGTGTCAGAAAGCTTGGTTTTAGTCAAAGGTCATGGTTCTTCAACAGGAAAATGACCAAAAACGCAAATCTGAAAACTATTCTGCAGTGACCTTCCATTAACCCTGACCTAAATCCTATTCAGCAATGTAGCAATGTCAGTGTAGTGGAAAAAATATGTTAAACAATATTTGTAATCCATCATAACAGAAATAGTAATATTGGAAATGGATGTTGGGCCAAATGTTCAATCAGCGCATAACCGTGAGATTACTGTGGAAGAGGGATTGCTGTAAAGTCACCCCACTATGCAATGGCTGAGATCTCTTTAACAAATGACTTTATCCATCAATGATCCATTGACTTTGACAGCATCGTTTTATTAGAAAGTCTGAACTGACCTTTATACATCACAATCAGAGTTACAGTAAATGACTAGAATAATGGAGTTAATGTGAACTAAAATCTGGTGCTGATGTTACAAATGGAAGACAGACAAAAAAATCACAACATAGAAGGTTTAAATGAGCACTAGAGAGAGAGAGAGAGAGAGAGAGAGAGAGAGAGAAAGAGATTTAAAAGAAACTACACTTGTAATAGAAAATCATCAAACATGTCAAAAGTAATTTGTCATATAAATTTATCTCGAACTATAATGGCCCTGCTGAGGGGTCTGAGTGCTTCAGTATCAATGAGCTCATCTTATCATCCATCGTTACTGCTGACTATAATAAGTGATTGAAGAGTTAAAACCTAAACTAGTTGTCATAGATTCATTACATTTTCCCTCTGCTTATACATACAGCAGAGGCTGATCACTTTAACTTAGAACTCAGGGGTTTGGGGGTGTTTGGCTGTATTATCCAGTATGGGAACTCGGCTTGGTACGGAAATTTCTCAGCAGTTAAAAGCAAAGCTCGGGCTGGTGAAGACAGTCATTATGGATTTAAGGAGGACAGAAAACTCTTTCCTGCAGACAATGTATAAACAGAAGGTTCTTAGACAAGCACAGTGAGCTTTGATGGAACCCTCCCACATGCTGTAGCCAGAGTACGAACTACTACCATCTGTTAAACAATACATAGTTCCTAGATGTAGGCCCAATCAGCTCAAAATTCCTTTGTTCCCACATCAATTAGGGTCTGGGAAATTTTGAGGGATTATGCATTAATGTTATGGTGTCTTCATTATTCATTGCTTTTTGTTATTTAATGTGTTGTCAGTATTCTTCTCACACACTCAGTTTTCTGCTGTGAAAACTGAGTGTGTGCAATATGATGTGTACTGGGGATATTTACAATATGTGAGTTATTTGATTAATGGTGACTCATCAAATCTGGGCTCTACTGTCCAAACTTCCAGAAAACTGTAAAAGTGCGTAAAGCCTGAGTTCTTTTAAATCAAGACTAAAACACATTTGTTTAGGAATTCCTTCGACTGTTCTGGTTGAACAGTTCAACTGAAACATCATTACTTCAACTTTCTTATTTTCTTTAGTCCAACTGTTTTTAATGTTCTTTTTTGTTTCTGCATTTTTTATTTCATTTATTTATTTATTTGTTTTTTCCTACTTATTTTGATTCTGTTTTATTTTCCTGCATTTTAATTATGTAAGGCACATTGCATTGTCTTTGTAGTGAATTGTGCTATAGAAATAAATTTGCCTTGCCTTGCCTTGCCTTACTGATTTTGGTTTTTCATAGCTGTAGAGTTGATTAAACTAACTCACTGTGGCTTTGATGAAACCAAGAACAGAGTTTCCAACCTCAGCCTAGATCAATTCATAGTTTGATTCTGCATTACCTTGCTTTGTTAAATGGGCCTCAGAATCTCTGACAAGTCGAATTTCTTAGCTAAACCCAGTCAGATAAAATTTCTCTTGAATGTTTTAATTCCTTTTTTTCCTCAAATCATTAAGAGAAAGAAATAAGTGCAACTAATAATAAATCAAGTAAGTTATCATTTGGACTGGTTTTAAATTATTATGTTTCATAAATAAATAAAACTTCCCCTTTTTTATTCATGAAATGTGCAATTCAGTCAATGTCATTAAGAATTTCTTCTCTGCTCATTTTTAACTTTCTTAACTCACCTTCAAACAAATCCCTTCCTCAACTTTTGATCTACGTCTAAATCAAGCGGTCCTGGACGGAATCAAAGGAAACATCCTTTCATGGTCCCAGCGAGCTGCAACAGAACTCAGAGTCCTGTGCTGAGGCGTTAAATCTCTGTTCAGCCTTTCTGTCTGACGCCTCCGTCAGTCTAAACTAAATCCCTACTTCCAGCTGACCCTGCTTTTCTCTATGGACCCCACGTCACTGGAATGGTTAAAGAACCGCCTGTTAATTAAGCTCCTCATTAACCTGAACAGACTCAGACAAAAGATTCTTCTTTTAATCCCATCTGCTGACGTCAGATTAATGTCTGTCATCTCTTCATGTTTTGCCTTTTATCAACTTTTCTTATTCTTCATGGAAAACACATTGAGAGTTCAACGTCAAAAAACTCAAAATCCTTTTGCCATGAATTAAAATCTGATCACAAAGCCATTTCTAAGGATACAACCCCACAGAAACACATTGAGATCCATTATCCAAGAGAGCATCAGCCATTCATCCAAGAGGTCCCACAGGAACCAGAGAAAGCATTTAAAACACTCACATCAGTTAAGGTCAGAGTTCATGATTCAACAGCATATTCAAGACAAAATGGCCAAATGACCTCTACGGTAGGCATCTAAACGAGAACCAGAAAGAACTGGAAGGCCTGGTTTGTTTTAGGAACTGATGAGATCAAAGAGGACCCTTTAGAAAGTCTTTCATCTGGAAATGTCATCAAGCCAACAGTCAAACACGGTGGTCGTAATATTATGGTTTGGGCCTCGGCTGACCTGCAGTTGTTGATGGAACTGTGGATTCTGTCATGCAGGACCTTGAGCTCAGGCATAAGACGTGCTGAAGAGCAGCAGGTCCCATTCAAGCTCAAATGAAACAAACTGAAGGTTTAAGGGTGAAAATTTGGACATGATTCCTATTGAGCTGTGCTGGCAAAACATGAAACCAGCTGTGTATCCTGAAAAAGCTAATGTGATAGAAGCCTAAGAGTCCTGAAAAAAGGAGGACAATTATTATATATATATATATATATATATATATATATATACATATATATACGTATATATATATAATATATATATATAATATTAGAAAACGATGGATCAGTGATGTTACTGAAACAAAAAACAGTAGAATGAGAACAGTAAACTCATTTATAATTAACCAATAGGCCAATATTTAATTCTAAACAGAAGAATATTCTACAGTTAAATTTTTTTAAAAGTCATAAATTAGAAGAAACTTGATCATAAAAAGTTTTTCACTCAGCTGCTGTATCTGTGATGCGGTTCACTGTGCAGGACTGATAGAAATGCAGAAGCGAACTAAATGATGTTGAGGAAGGCTGGAGCGGAAAAATCGGAGGTCCATCACAGGAGGCAGGAGTTAAACTAATAGTTGGGTTGGAGTTAATGGTAGCTATGGTAACTGCAGCATCCTGACCTGAATATGCCATGAGTTCAGTGTTCTCTTGTTTCTGGCTGCAGTTATCAGGGTTTCGGCTCAGGTGATGTTATAGCGACATCTTGTGATCAAGATCCTGAACAGCAGTCAGAGAGACCAAAGACCACCACTACTGATGCTGAGACACTCTCTGATGTTGGTTTCTGTTTATAGGATAGGTTTATATGAACACACACATTTAACTATTATATACATATTATGCTTAATGATTTTATTTCTTGTTTTTATTAAGGATGTTTAATTATTTTGTTTTTAATAGATTGTGCAAGAAACACAATCTGAAAGGAAAATATTTAGGATTTTTTTGAATAATTCTAACTGTGAAAGTTCAAAATCTTTGGATTTGAAGCAGGACTCAGAGACTTACTTCCTGTTTGTATTTCTCTTCTCCTCCAGGTGCCGATGAGCCTCCAGACGAGACTCGGGGGTGAAAGCACAGGGTGTGTGCCAGAACTCTCGCTCCTGCTCTTCTTCCTCCTCCTCTGGGCTCCTCGGGTTCTCCTTCAGTTCCTGGTTCTCCTTGTTATCCTGTGAGCTGAGAAGGAAAACTCAAGGTTGAGATCTTTAACTCGTCCAGACTAGCTTCAAATTCAGCCTCAGGAGCTAAAACTAACTTATAGTAAACCTTTGCTGCAGCAGTAAATCTAGAACTCTGAGCTCACCCTGGGTTGTTGATATCTGTGTACCAGCGCCCATCGTAGCCAGGTTTCTTCTCTTTCTTCCTTTGTTCCTCCTGCTCTCTCTGCTCCTCTTTTCTCCTCAGGTACTCGGTTTCCTGCTCTCTGATTCGTCTCCTCACCTGCTCCAGGCCCTGTGAGGCTCTGATCCGCTCTGATCGGCTGATCTCCATCCCGTCCAGCCACTGGTGACACAGACACAGAAGAAAGTCTCACACCAGAAACTAGAGGTGCCAATTAACTAAAAATAAATACTTTGTCACTTTTACTTAGATCTTTACTTAGATGTATGTATAATGATGTGATGTAACAGCTGCAACAAAAAAAAGACACCCCATCACTTTTTTCTGTAAAAAAAAAAAACTGTAATGGATGAAGACAGAGGGCTGGAAATGTTATGAATGGTGAATCAGATTCTGAGCCCAAGACAATTACCATCCATTTCATTTACATTTTTACATGCTGAAGTTTAATGATCCATTTTAATGATATTTGTTTCCATAATGCTGGGTATACCAAAACTGTATAGGGATTCAGCTGCTAAATCAATAGGATATCCTGTCTGAAATGTTCATGTAGATTGAGTCAGTCAACAGTAAGAAAATTAGGAAAATTAACTTACTTTGTGTACGTAAATTTTTTTACCATTTACGGCAAATAAAATAGTTTAACTTTTGCACTTAAGTATAATGGAGAACTTTTACTCAAGTAAAGAAATTCTAATTACTTTTACAGGTTGTTTTAAAAACAAAATTAATTGTGCTTTTACTTAGGTAAAGGAAAAGTTAAATGAATACAATAAATGTATATTTATACTCAAGGGCGTAGGTTTGATTTGAACTTTGGTAGGGACACTATTGGTCTGGTGTCATTGGTGCTATGTAATATGCATGCCCTTTTTTATGCTCGATGTGAGCATCCGTACTGATAAGAGGAATTCATTGTTAAAAGAGAAAAGCAACATTTGGCTCCATTAATAAAAATGTTATAAGCTCTACACTCATTAGATGCTGTTTATCAATGTTTGAAGTATCACCGGCTCTGATGAAAGTGGAATTAGAACCGTTTTTCACTTTGAAAACGGTTTCATTTGAACAACTAAGATAGAAGGTAAATACAGTATTTTCTTTTGAAGATATAGAATTGTGCAGAGTTAAACCCCACTCTAATATTTGTACCTACTATTCTCTCTCTGTATCAAGCAAAATAATACATCAGTGGTGTTCTGCATCTTTGGGTCTCCATTAGAGAACCGATCATGACAGAACACTGCGGCCAAACTCAAGGCCCAGCAGAACACCTCACCCGTCGTTTGTACGAGCAGGAAGCTCTTCTCCAAGGACAAACCCAAACGCTTCGTGAGTTATACCATCTTGTTGGATCTCATAATCAAATGCTACAGAGTTGCTCTAATTTTCTGAATGGAGCTAACGCCACATCCTCACAGCAACCTTTTCCGGGTCCAGTTCCTCTCCCGAGGTCACAACCTGTGATGTCATCAGAGTTCCGTCCTAGTCTCCCAGAAAAATTCTCTGGTAACATGAAAGATTGTAAGGGATTCCTATTCCAGTGCCGGCTGATTTTTCTGAACTCTCCTGGTTGTTTTTCTACAGATTACAAGAAGATAACGTTCATTCTCTCTCAGTTAACAGGAAGAGCTTTAGAATGGGCTCAGGCAAGATTTGCCATCGACGATGGTTTAAATTGCCGTTTTTCTGACTTCATTGCTGAATTTTCCCAGGTCTTTAACCAGGAGACAGACCAAACGATTGATTCCAGAGCTCTTTTCAACCTTAAACAAGGTAATTCTTCAGTGGCAGATTTTTCAATTAACTTCCGGGTAAAAGCGGCAGCTTCCGGATGGAACCAGAGCGCTCTCAAGGGAGCATTTTTCATGGCTTTAAATGAACAAATCAAAGATGAACTTGCTACGCTCGATGAACCAGCTTCCCTCGAAGATTTTATTCGTCTCTCCATCAGATTAGATAACAGAATTCGAGCCAGAAACAGCTCTAAGAAGCAAGGTAACTTTTCCTCTGCCTCTCATAACATGGCTGTTCTCTCTCCCTCTACAGAGCAGATGCCCACACAGAGATCTAAGCCCCAGTCTCTATCATTGCCTGTTCAAGCCTCTCATTCAGGCGAAAGGGATTATGAGCCTAAGCAGGTGGGACACACTAGGCTCTCTCCTGAGGAGAGACAGAGGCGTTTTCTAGGAAAACTTTGTATCTACTGTGGTGAGAGTGGTCATTTTATCGCCTCCTGCCCGGCAAAATCAAAAGCCGGGGCCCGCCAGAGGATATGAGGAGTCTGGCGGGCCATATAAATTCGACTAAATCTCCTCGACTGTTGCTGCCTGCCACCCTTTTTTGTAATAACCAGAGTCTCTCTTTCTCCGCCTTCATCGACTCAGGCTGTGAGCGTAATCTAATCGACTCAGACCTCGTCCAGCAGCTCCAGATTCAAACCGTTCCCCTGTCTCAGCCTCTCAGTGTGTCCGCCATTGACGGAAAGAGACTTCATCGTGTTACCCACCAAACCCAGTCCCTCGAGCTACTTTTGTCAGGTAACCACCGAGAAACTATCACCTTCTTTGTGTTTCCCTCTGCATGTTCCCCCCTGGTCCTCGGATTTGAGTGGTTGGAGAAACATAACCCTCACATAAATTGGACCAAACGTCTCCTGGAATCATGGTCTACTACGTGCCACGGAACATGCCTTCGTTCTGCTGCCCCTATGTTGGGGCCTCCTAGAGGTGGGGGGGAGATGGACTCTCCTGACCTTTCTTCGGTTCCCTCTGAGTACCACGACTTAGCCCCCGTCTTCAGTAAGGTCAGTGCGACGTCCCTACCTCCACATAGACCATACGATTGTGCCATAGAACTTTTACCTGGTGCTCCTCTTCCAAGCAGCAGACTGTATAACATTTCCAAACCAGAAAGAGAGACAATGGAAAAATACATCAACGAATCATTGGCTGCTGGAATAATCCGTCCTTCATCCTCTCCCCTGGGCGCCGGTTTCTTCTTCGTGGGCAAGAAGGATGGTTCCCTGAGGCCATGCATTGACTATCGAGGTTTGAACCAAATTACTATTAAAAACAAATACCCACTGCCTCTTCTCGCCTCAGCCTTTGAACCAGTGCAGGGTGCAACTGTCTTTACCAAGCTGGATTTAAGAAACGCTTATCACCTCCTCAGAATACGAGAGGGTGATGAATGGAAGACTGCCTTTAAGACACCCTTGGGCCAATTTGAATACCTGGTGATGCCTTTTGGTCTGACTAACGCCCCAGCCTGTTTCCAAGCCCTTGTTAACGATGTTCTCAGAGATTTCCTCAACGTGTTTGTGTTTGTTTACATTGAGGACATTCTCATTTATTCCAAGGACCTCCATGAACACAAGAGACATGTCCGTCTCGTGCTACAGAGACTACTGGAGAATAAGCTGTTCGTGAAAGCCGAGAAATGCGAATTTCATCAGTCTTCAGTCACCTTTTTGGGGTTTGTGCTCGAGGGCGGCCAGGTAAGACCTTCTGAGGACAAGATCAAGGCAGTCCTAGATTGGCCAGTTCCTGAGAACCGAAAGCAACTACAGAGGTTTTTAGGTTTTGCTAACTTCTATCGTCGGTTCATAAGGAACTATAGCCAAACCGCCCTTCCATTAACCTCACTAACGTCTTCCAAACGAACTTTTCAGTGGACCCCCGAGGCCCAAGCTGCTTTCGAGAAATTAAAATCCATGTTTTCCAGAGCACCTGTACTAATTCAACCTGATCCTTCAAAACAATTCATCCTTGAGGTAGACGCTTCAGATTCCGGTGTTGGAGCTGTTCTTTCTCAGAAACTCGATTCAGATCAAAGAATACACCCTTGTGCCTTCTTTTCCCGTAAGCTCTCCTCAGCTGAACAAAATTATGATGTGGGTGATCGTGAGCTCCTGGCAATCAAACTGGCGTTGGAAGAATGGAGGTATTGGCTGGAGGGAGCTGAGCATCCGGTCCTTGTGTGGACTGACCACAAAAATCTGGCTCACATCCAGTCAACCAAACAGGCTAACCCTCGCCAATCCAGGTGGTCCATCTTTTTCTCCCGATTTAACCTTATTATCACCTACAGACCCGGATCCAAGAACGTGAAGCCCGATTCTCTCTCTCGTCTCTACTCCGTCGATCACCCTGAGACACCTGAGCCTGTTCTCCCAGCCTCATGCACCGTAGGAGTGGTCAACTGGGAGATAACGGACCTAATCAACTCAGCCCTAGCCACCGAACCAGATCCAGGTACCGGTCCGTCTAATCGCACATATGTCCCTTCTTCTGTCAGGTCCCGTCTGATCCAGTGGATGCATGCCGCAAAATTCTCCGCTCATCCAGGAGTTAGTAGGACTGTCGCTCTAATCTCCAGGTGCTTCTGGTGGCCTACGCTCCATCGAGACGTTAAAGAGTATGTGTTGGCCTGTCCCACATGTGCTCGTAACAAGGCCTCACATCAACCTCCTTCTGGTCTCCTTCAACCACTACCTGTTCCCTCGCGTCCATGGTCCCACATAGCCATTGATTTCGTCACCGGTCTCCCTGTCTCCCGAGGTATGTCCACCATACTAACCATTGTCGACCGTTTCTCTAAGTCTTGCCATCTAGTTCCCCTGAGAAAACTTCCCACGGCCTTCCAGACAGCCCAGCTTCTAATTAAACATGTTTTCCGGCTTCATGGCATCCCCCAGGAGATTCTATCGGACAGAGGTCCCCAATTCATATCCCAGGTATGGAAGGCTTTTTGTTCTGCTCTCGGCTGCAAACCATCTCTCACCTCAGGTTACCATCCTCAAACGAATGGCCAGACCGAGCGTATGAACCAGCATCTGGAATCCACCCTCCGCTGTCTAACATCAAATAACCCGGTGGATTGGAGCCAATACCTTCCATGGATAGAATATGCCCACAACTCTCTCCGTTCCGCATCCACTGGACAGTCTCCATTCCAGGTCAGTCTCGGATATCAACCACCTCTTTTCCCCGCAGATGAGAGAGAGATATCGGTGCTATCCGTGAACCAACATATCCGCCGCTGCCGGAGGATTTGGAGGGAGACCATTGCCACACTCAACCAGTCCTCTGAGTCGGTCAAGCGTTTCGCTGACGCCAAGAGACGCCCCGCCCCTGAGTATTCTGTGGGCCAGGAAGTGTGGCTTTCCACTCGAGACATCCCCCTCAAGGGGATGTCTCGAAAACTTTCCCCGAGATTCATAGGCCCATTCAAGATTTCACGTATTATCAACCCATCAGCTGTCCGTCTCCAACTTCCTCCTTCCCTCCGAATCCATCCGACCTTCCACGTCTCCCAGATCAAGCCTGTTTCCTCGAGCCCTCTGTGTAATATGCATGCCCTTTTTTATGCTCGATGTGAGCATCCGTACTGATAAGAGGAATTCATTGTTAAAAGAGAAAAGCAACATTTGGCTCCATTAATAAAAATGTTATAAGCTCTACACTCATTAGATGCTGTTTATCAATGTTTGAAGTATCACCGGCTCTGATGAATGTGGAATTAGAACCGTTTTTCACTTTGAAAACGGTTTCATTTGAACAACTAAGATAGAAGGTAAATACAGTATTTTCTTTTGAAGATATAGAATTGTGCAGAGTTAAACCCCACTCTAATATTTGTACCTACTATTCTCTCTCTGTATCAAGCAAAATAATACATTCATTAAAATATTAACTTCACTATAAAAGTTGAACATCTGGGCTGTAGTTACTCTGTGTAGCCAATTACATGTATTTCATCTGGGGCTGAAAAAATGAATCATATTAATTGATTATTTCAATAATCGTCAACTACGGTAATTTAGTATGTAATTCATCATTAACTGGAGTATAGAGACTTTAAAAGATACAGTAATATAAATGTAAAATGTGCCTTTCTCCACAGAGCAACCCACTTAGATCAGTTATTATATCAAAATTGTAAAAATAAAAACAAAAAAATGAAAACAGTAATATCAACTAAATATCGGTAAAAAGGAAACCCTCACATTTTCTTTTTTAGTTGGCTGTGGCTAAGAATCAGAAATGTTGATGGCTTACAGCCTTTATTTGCCCATTTTTCCAGCAGTCTTCAGAACTCCTGCTGACTCAGAATATTTCGTTTTATAAAAGAAAAAAAAAGGTTTTTGTTTTTTAGTGTACATGATATTCATTTTTTTTTTTTATTGGGTGTTGGGAGCTGGAGAAAGTTCCATCTTTCTCCAGCAGAGTCCGCCGTGGATCCTCTGAGGGAGCCTCCTGCACAGGTGCAGCTCATCAGATCATCAGAGGATCCACTACATAAGCTGTCTTCAGACCTTGCCTCAACGCCGCAGTGTTGTTCCAGTTGGTCAGCGCTAAAGCCTTGATCTCAGTGATTATCTCCATGACTCTAATCCCTAGTTGGATTCTAACTTCTGTTTCTGTGCCTCTAGGAAACTCGTGCTTCCCCCGTGAAAGCTCTGGAAGAGCTAACCTGCCGAGCCGACCCTCAGAGCCAAACCCTGAAGATCCTCAGACAACCTCCAAGCAGCTCTGGGCTAGAGCTGGGAAACCAATGCCAAGGTCTGCTCTAACTAGTCGTAAGACGCTGAAGCAGCTAACGGACTCTGCTACTAAATCCTTCTCCAGAACCAACAGTGACTCTCCCAAAGAGAACCTCAAGAACCCTCAAGGTACTATCTATGCTTCATTGGAAACCAAACCCCGTCAACAGTCCTTAACTGAGCTGTCTCTCACGCAGACTCCGGTGAAACCAGAATCCAGGCCCGAACCAGCATTCTGCAAATTCAGTGTGATTGTGCTAATAAACTTGTTAAACTTTTCATCCTGTGTCCGTCAGTGGTGTTCTGCATCTTTGGGTCTCCATTAGAGAACCGATCATGACATTGGGACTAGTTTTGTAGCCTAATATTAATTGTAGTAACCGCTGCATTCTAGTGTGAATAAATTTTCAATGTTGTGCTCCAAGCACACGCGGACTAGAAAACAGCCAATCGGAGAGAGAGAAGGCGGAACTTAAGGCAGAACAACCAATGAGAGTGGAGTTAAACAGCGCAGCACAGTTCCATGCGCTGCTACATGAAAGGGACACGAGAGACCAGGCAGAGGAGCTGCGAGAGGAAAAGAAGCCACTGCTGCAACAACTACTGCTGTAAATTATAAACATGTTGCTCACATCCAATTATTGGTAGGGACAATTAGGACGGTTCAAAATTTTGGTAGGGACATGTCCCCATGGTCCCTATGCAAACCTACGCCCATGTTTATACTTTTGCTCTACCAGGAAGCAAGGACCACACCTGTGCTTTAAATGGACTCCTTGATGCTAACAGGTTCACTGGGGCTGTGGGTATTTCCGAAAATCAATATTCATACTCTGAAAGTTGCCACAGTAAAAAGAATCTATAACCTGTAAACTGTAACTTTTTTGTTAGTTATTTAAAAAGGCGAAACTTCAGTTAGCTTTCGTGTTTTCGTTGCAAAATGCAGGAATTCCACATTTTAACATTGGCTTTTTATTTAGAGGCTAAACGTTCATTACTATACAAAAAAGAGATGCTGCCAATCAAGTTTTAATTTGATAATTTTGCTTGTTCTGTATAATGACATCAAAGCCATTTATTTCATTCTTATTGAAGTTTAAAGTTGACCTCCAAGTAATTAGCTGTAATCAGTGATCCGGAATGGGGGGCTCTAGAGGTTCATGAGCAAAGCACTAGCTTCTTGGAGTAACTGTAAAGGTTTGAGTTTTGAATTTTAGGCTGTTACTGTCGCTGAAACAGTGGGTATAAATGAAGATGACAGACTCCTTCAATAGGGGGAACAAGGTCTAAATAAAAACAGTATAATTATTAAAGGCAAAGCTGAGGATTTTTGAGAAAGACCCGCCCTCTCCACTTTGAAAACAAATAAGTGAAAATGGGGACGAGCACATCAGATGGCCTTATGTAAATATATAGCCAGAATGATTGAAAATTAGGAGAACCACTTATTTTGATGATCCACCAGGAAAAGAACATTCTCCACTATACCTTTAAGCAGGAAGTTTAAGATTTATAGTTTGTATTGCCTTTTCAAAGACACCACTATGTTCATATAAGTTGGGGAAAAAAGTTTCAAGATACTTTATAATTTAAAGTTTGGTCAAAGTAAAAGCAAAAGTTAAATGATTGAGTTATATTCTGAAACTTAAAAATTTGCTGAAGTTTGTTGTCTTAACATTTTTAGTTTTACCACACAGGCAAAATAACCAGTCAAAAGTAATCAAAAAGACAGTTTCATTGCTGAAAGTTCAGGAAGCTTGGTGAGCTAACCTTTAACTGAGGCAGCGCAGCCACCACATACTGCCTGTAGCCCTGGAACTCTGTGCAGGGATTCCCCACCAGGAAGAGTTCTCTCAGGTGGATGTTGTTTTTCAGGGAGTCAACACTGCTCAGGAGCCCCACAAAGTTCACTGTCAGATCCAGCTTCTGGAGACTCTCGCAGCCTGCAGGCAGGAAGGAAACAAACAGGGTATCCTGTTCAGAAAAGTGGTACAAAGGATGAAAAAATAGAAGCTCAGTAGGACAACATGATTCAATTAGGATTTTTTTGTTTTTTTTGTTTGCAGTGGCTGGTTTGTAATCAAAGCTGGGAACACTACTTCATGTTCATTTTAAAGTGAAATGAACAAGCTTCAGACACGAAACAAGCCAACAATTCCTGCTCTGGAACTGTGCACCGACCTTCAAGGTTTTCAACCACTTCGATGTTGTTTAAGGCCAGATTCAAATACTCCAGCTTCTTCAGGCGGCCCAGATTCTCTGCAACATCAAAGGGATCGAATTATAAAAGATTAAGCCCTGAGAACTCCTCAGAGCTCAATCATGGAGACCAGTCTGTGTGAAAACATCTAAATTATTGCTCAATAACTGCTGCCGTATTACAATGTCAGTCTCCAATGACTCCTATGATAAATACAGTTCTGGTTCACATGCATTTGGCATCATCTCATTAATTTATGGTTTTAAATCATTTATTTAAAAGCTATTTTACAATGGATGGATTTTTAAAAAACCAATAAGTTTGGATTTTCTCAAATTTAAAAGGGTTTCGGACACCCTTACTGGTATGATTTTAGTCTAAAAGTAGCTTTTACCTTAACCTAACTGTTCACATCCATCAACAAGCTCTTTTTGAGTTTTGGTTTCTATTAAAGAGGCCCTGCTCCCAAATGAACAGTTTAATGATAGTCATTATATTCTATCTGGTTTTATATGCAGATTGTGTAAAGATACCGATTTTTGGGATGAGGTTGTTCTGCAGATAGAGGATCCTCAGCTCCCTGCACCACCTGTCAATGTGTTCGATCTTCTCAATTTCCTGCTGGTGCAGAGAAACTTCCTCCAGGGTTAGGATCTCACAGTCGTTGTGCTCGGCCCGCCGACGGATCAGATCCTCTGTGACTAGATGTGAAAAAAACAAACAAGTTAAAAAGTTATGTTAAAGCCACAGGACTACCAACATTGATGAGCTTTTTTTTGTCTGATAAAAACAGTCAGGCTTCCTTTAATTTCACTTTAATATCAATCCCCATTAGACTGTTACAATATTTTATTATAAGTCCCAGTGCTTTTTAGATGACCACTGATATTTATAAATATGTTTCATTCATATTTCTGCACTTTAATCATAAAATGTGCTTGTTTTTTTAAAGCATCACACTTTAACATCTATGTTATTTAGGGCTCAGTTAACTTTGCTAATGCCTTTTTTTCCTTTAATTATTTTAAGGTATTCATTTGTATTATCATATTAGCTCACTAGCATTTCTTAGCCATTCGTTTACAGTGAACGGAGACAAGCTGTTAAAAAGAAACAAACTAAACTACAGACAACATGTAAAGAAAAGTAAACCGTAATATTTAAACGGAATTTAAGGTCAGGTTAATTAAATCTTCATGTTTCCATTAAATTGCGGTATCTTTATTTAATCTTACTGTAAACCATCTCCGTCTCTGTCGTTGTAGCACGTTGCCGTGGAAACGGACTCTTTGCTATGTTTAAGACCAGTAGGAAATTTTACAGTTTCAGAAGTTAAATGGGTTTTTCCTTTAGAACTTGAACACTGAAACCAAAACTGCCAAAATGAAATACTGAAAGAGAAGGTAGAGCAGTATAACAAGATTTTTTCAGGGCTTTAAATGCAACAAAATATTACCATCCCCAATCCATTGCTGATTAAGAAGACACGCACACAAAAATAAAAATAGGCTACTTCCGTTGTTATCTTTAACTGATAAAAACAGTCACTTATTGTCATGATCCTTTATCATGTATTGCCTTTATTCATGTGTTTATTGATGTGATTTGTGTTAATTGTTTGGTTATGTTCTGTAAAGTAAGCCCACGTGTACTTTATTATAGTTTTAATTTATATTTACATTTAATCTTCACAGTGGACCTGATGCTTGATGATGGGCTTAAAGCTATGAATAAACTCGTGTCTGCGCTAACGGGACCAAAGATTTGCTCTAGTATTTACAGACTGTTCTGAATGCAGCATCCGATGGAGCCCTGACTTTTATTTTGAAAGTCCAGCGATCGCAGAAAAGGAGAAGTCCAAACAACAGCCTCAGCATCCGGTGGTTCTTCCCGGGGCAGGTAAGCTGCTGTCCGGCTTCAACAACATTATAGTGACCACAGAAACCGAGACGTGGTTGGATCTTCCCTCTCCGAGCTTCCGGCGTTGTTCTTGCAGAGATTTGATCTCGATTTCTCTGTCAGTATGACCAGTTTAAAAGGGTTCCAGTCCCAGCTGACATCCATCATGGAGGCGCTGACCCGTGCCGCGGTGGCGGAGATTTGTGGGTTGGTGGATGACGGCTACGCCGTCCTACAGCTTGAAATCTCCCGATGCCACAAGGAGAACGAGGCGCTGCGACAAAAGCTGGAGCTCATCGAGTCGATCATCGCCCGGGGCAGCCGGAGGATCGACGGTGGGACGATGGTCTGTGGTGGGCCAGCGGAGGATGGGGAGGGACTGGAGGATGCAACAACCGGTGAGTTCAATAGAACCGAACCGAAACAGTAAATGTTTAATCACCGGATCAGGGTCTGTTTTTGTCTTTAATCGCCTATTTCATAGAGCAGAGAGAGAGTGGGTCTTCAATAATTTAATTAGAAACCTACCAGCGCTTAATGTTTCTACCAAACTCCATTAGGAAAGAGTAAAAAACTAGCTTCGGCTTTAATGGGACCAAAGTTCTGATTGACTTTTTCACTAAACCTGCTTCTTTTCACCTCCCTTTTATTTCGGCGTAGTAATGAAACCTTGAACTTGAACATAGTCTTGTTTATTAGCGTCTCCAGAGGTCCTTCATCCCCAATGCATTCAGACCCTTTAACTAACGTGTAATAAACCATCTTTTCAGGCCACTGCAGCATCATTATAAATGTGCAATACTGTACATTTATAATGATGTACTGAAAGATATATTTTAAAGCACCTTTATGCGTTTTAATGCAAATTTATCAGTTTTATTTTTCTGTTGTAAATTTACCTTAAACACTTTTATTGACACATGGTTTTGTTTAGTATCTTTGACCCTTTGGAGTAGAAATGGCCTCTATTCCTCTTTCACTTTTGCTGCAGGTACACCTGTCCCCACAGTGGGACAACAATGCTTCTTTTCTGTTCTATTCATCAAACACCTGTGGTTTATGGGAATTCATATAATAAAACCAAAGATTAGAACCACTAGTCACAAAGAATCAGAGTCCTCTTGAGAACTTCTAATGTAGTGAGTCAGCTGCTGCTTTTAGTGAGGATCTATGGAGGAATCCGTTGCCAGGGGTGACACTGTAATCTTAGAGCTGTGATTATTTGTTAAAAACACATAAAAGACTAAAACTTTTCAAAATAAAACTAGTACTTAGTGGAGATGAATGAATTAATCCCATAATTCTAGCTGTATTAAGAAACGTGGATTCTGATGATGATTTGTTTACATTCTTATCTATCTGCTATGGTTATGTTTACTCATCATGCTTTGTTATTATACCATTTTGTGTATTTATATTGATATACTCTCACCTGTCAGCATTTTACTGTGATTGCCTGCTGATAGGGATTGCTAAGAATAGCCGAAATGACTTTAAGATGGAGAGAAAATGGTAAAGAAAATTGAACTGGACAGAGACGCTGTGTCTAGTGATGCCTCAATTGTAGGAGGAGGTGGGGGTGTTGAAAGGTATATTTAGCCCCAGGATTTACATCCTTCTTCCTGCCTTTAACCCCCCCAGCCTGAAACATTGCAAGCAAAAGCCAGGGAGAAGATTTCAGCAATATCATCTAATTTGCACCCTACTTCTTATGGAGGGTTAAAAGGGACAAAATGAAATAAATTCATGCATCATTAAATATCCCATTAAATAATGAAATATCCATTTTATTTATTTAATGCATCATTAAGTAATTATATGTACCATTAAATTATGAAATCTGCAATTAAATAATTAAATATTATTTTCAAATGATGAGATTAGATAATAAAACCTGGGGCCTGTAATGCAAAATGTACTTTATGCACTAATTTGCACTTCAATTTGGTTCACTACTGCATCTAAATAAACAGTGTTTTTTTTTTTTGTTAACAAGTCAGGGTCTGGATTCCAAGCTGCCTAAAAAAAAAACCGATTATTACCTCACAATCAGCGAGCACTGCGCATTACTTAAGCAAAGTCGACCTGTAAGAAAAGTAGTAGTTTAAAAACACATCTTACAGTGATGAAAGAAATATTAGAATAAATCACTGAAACAATTAAAAACTACGATTGAACTAAAGCTGAACATAGAAAACTAACGGTTAGCACGATGCTAATATGCTTTTACCCTCTCACAGGGATGCTCGAGCCATTGGCGTCTTCTATAACTGTAGAGTTTAACACAGCAGAAAGAATAAATTGCTGATTCAGAAACTGCTCACTGCATCCTTGCTGGTCGGATCAATGTCTAAGATGTACAGTTGCACTGTTGTGCATCTATTTGCAGCCTGTTCAGGTGTATAAAGTGTGCGTGTAAGCGTGCAGCCACAGCTAATTGGCATAAATGTGACAGAGTTCACTCTAAAAGGAGCTTTAGATAGATCAAACTGAGGGGGAGACATGTGGTGAACATTTATAGGTCGCAGACTTTTTCTGTCCTAACCTGAGAAAGAAGCAGAGCAGTTTCTCTTAAAATATATATTTTTAATAAAACTGTTGAATTTAGATATATTATTTCTCTATATTTCCTGAATTCATAGCATCTGCACAGCAGACTTATTGTGAAATTATTTAAAAGGTAATGTTGTCACGTCAAACTGCTTGTAGGTTTAGGGCGGCTTAAGACCTTAAAATTACATCTTATTTTGCTTTGACTCTGAGGTTAATTCTTTTACAGGAAAGTAGAGAAACAACTTCAACATCTTCATTCAATTTAATTACCACAAACCTGGCAGAGCAACTCCAGCCTATGTGTCTTTGATTTGTCTGATTTATCTCTAATAAGTTAATAAGAGAGCATCAGCCAGCGGTGGGCGGGGCTAACGTTGATCCTGTCTGAAGTCTGCAGCAGTTTAGACCCTGTTTTATATTTTTATACACCAAACTAAGCTGGAATTGCTTACCAAGAGTTTAGAATGAATAAATAAATAAAATTGAATTATTTAATGTCATTACTTTATGGTGCATTTCATTATTTAATGATGTATTAAATTAATAAATGGTACATTTAATTATTTAATGGAGTGTTTTTTTATGTCGTAGTGTATTCACATAATATTTTCAATGATATATTAATTTCTATCTTTTTTTACCCTCTGTTTAAGTAACTATATCGTTTGTGTTTTTTATTTAATGTGTTATTTGGGATTATTGATCTTGTTTGTTTTCTATTATTTATCCATATTTATCAGGATCACCTTGCTGGAGGTGCATCTTTACCTCCTTCTTCTGAAACAGTAGAACCCCTTCCCCATAGTGGGGAGAGGAATTTGATCTTTACTCTCTTTTTAAATAATTTAGTTTCAACGTTAGTGCTCATTTGCACATAAATGAGCACACTGATAAGCGCGCCTGGGCTGGATTGGAAAGGTCAGCTCACCCTTGATGAGGTCATTCATAAACACTGAGCGGGCAGCGCCTCATTAATTCATTGTGCGGAGAAAATCTCCTTTCTCTCCGTTTCCTCCATCTTCTCTTAGGTCTGCTACAGCCCTCGTCACCAATCCTAATGTTTGTTCTCTTTAAGGGCTTTCTTAAGCTCTAAGCAGCCAAAAATCTTTAGTTTACTGAAGTAAAAGTCTATAAAAAGTTCGCATAACTTGAAGAACTTAGTTACTTTTTCTAAAATGGCGTCACTAAGAGCTGCTTTTGGATCCTTGTAATTATTGACCCTGATGTTTTCAGGTTTCTTTTAGCTGGATAATATGAATCCTTCATCAATCTGTTGTTCCCATAACGCTGAAAGGCCTCAGGACTGAGAAAAACGGTACTACACCTTCAGTCCAGCGGGTGGCGGTATTAAGAGCTCCCATCTTAACTTTCTTCTTCTTAACAAATACTTGATGTCCAGTGCGCTGATCTCTATTTATTCACTGGATTGCTGTTTGGCTGTTAGCAGTACACGTTGCTGTGAAGTCACCAGCCGCCATATTGTTACTCCCTAGTTAGACCACTGATCTCCATTTATTCATAGAGATCAGTGAGTTAGACTGGTCACAGTGTAAACAATACGGGCGCTACAGCATCGAACAGCGATTATGTTCTCATTTTCAGGGGGGCTTATAAAATAAAGATGAATTAATCACTTTGACACACACTTGCTCTTTCATAAGCACCATTTTAGTGATGTTATGAGATGAGTCGAGGCTTCGAGGCGTGTGTCGAGTAATGGAGGGGGCATTTCCCCAAAGCATGTGTTGAGGCCTGATTCATTTAGGGGGAGGGGCCAAAATTGATTTCGTCCAAAGCCTCGTTACCGTGATACCATGTGACCGCTTTGGGAAGTGGCTTAGAAAGCGCAAGAACTGTGGCAGGCATTTAAACAGCCTTAGGATTAAGTCAAGATGTGAGAGTTTGTAGGAGAGCTGCTGTCAGTTGGACAGAGTTTGGATAGATTCTAAGAATAGATTGGTTGGAAAAACAACCAATCTAGTTGATTAAAACTATTTTGGTTAGATTAAACAGTGTAATGATCAAAATCTGAGCAAGCTGCCGGACACAGAACTATTTAGTGTTAATAAGTATTGCTTTCAATGTTAGTGGCGTGATCTGTAACACACTGACTTCCACTCCTGAGGTTGATGGTTTAAGACCCACTTTTTAAAGTTGCAATTATACTGAAGTATTTTGGCTAATGGGACCAATTTGTATTGGTTTGCCTTAGTAAAAATATAGATTCGGTAAAAACATTGCCAAATTAGATAGGTCGGTTTAGCCAAAAGATTGGTTAAACACATAACTTCCAACCAGATTAAAACCAAAAACTTTGTGAAAACTATTATGTTTGAATAAAAATGATTAACACCTTTCATTTTTCTCATCATTGCCCAATTTTCACAAACAGCTTCACTGTCTGCTTGAGTTTGTTTCACTAAAATGGCAGAAAAAATGGTGCACCTTAAATGATTGTTCTCTTCTAACATTCTCGACATAGTACACTTTAAAAAACTTACAAAGTATTTTATTACACACCAATCATTAACAATTTCAAAGGAACTTAAAATGGAAAAAAAAGAAAAACAATTGCAAAAAAAATCAAAGTTTTTATTACAAACTGTAGTTCTGCTCTCCACCAGTAAAAGGTGACATTTTCACATGAAGCTTCATGAACTGTGGGGATCGTTGAAGCAATTTGGCCAAACGGTTCGATGCCTCATGAGGCTTCATCTCACTATCACTACCTGATTTACACTACGCCTCTGAAACTGATCCGTGCCGAGTTCCGACCGACATTGAATCAGTTAGCCGTGCCGAGCTCGGTTCCTTGCACCCGTATACACATCACGCTAGCACGGTTCCTCGCCTCCTAGTGATGATCTACGGTACTACTGCTCTCTAGAGGGAAACAAGCAAATCCACATGGCGGTTCCCATAACATTCATTGGTTATAAATGTGATATTTTGTTGTTTGCGGAGAATCAGGCGAAATCAGGCGAGTCAGTGATCTTGAGCTTGTTTCAAAAAGGTAGATGGGCCTATAGCATCAGTAGATTACTGTAATTTATGGTACAAATTAGGCACATCCCATTGCATATTCAGTATGAAGTCCATGTAGTCTATGAATCATGTAATATAACATTATACAAATACATCACAACATAATTGGTGTGGAGCGTAATAATACTATAGTCTATAGAAATTAAGAATATTACACACACGCACACACTATCTGAGGATGTAGCAAAAGTTCTAAAATGATCATACACATGTAATATGCACGTATTGATTACCTTGTAATTACATATTACATATAATTTCAAAACATTATATATCTGGAGTGCAAATAGCAGGGGTTAAATTGGGCATCCTTGTATTTCTACTTGTTTATACTGTAACGGTTAAATTTTATGCCTCGAATCTTGTGAATCATGTTATCTGCTCGTTGCTTTTGCAGTTTTCTTGCTAAGATTTTGTCATTTTGCTCCAGACTCATATTAGGTTTGCCTTGTGAATATCATCTTTTTTTCAATTTCCTGTGTATCAAGTTCATTTCATTCGAAATTGCTTATATTTTTGTTGGTGTCTTTGGTTTCTGTTCTTTCTTATGTTTTGCCTCAAGATTTTTCAGTTCTTTGTTTGTTATCTTAGTTGTTTTTTTGTTTTTTTTTTATAATCCTCCCTCTAAAAATAGCATTTAATGTGTCCCACAACGTCGATGAATCGACCTCACCATTGTCGTTTTCTTCTAGAAACATTATTTCCTCTCTCATTCGGGTTGCTATTGTTGTTTTTAATAATGCTGACATGATTACGGGCACATTAATCCTCTCCATCGTTTGTACTAATCCCTCCTTTGTGAACACAATGACCGCAGATTTTTTTTGCATGTCAATTTGAACCTGATTTTCAGAGGAGCTGAAGAAAAACACCCAAAAACTGCACCCAAAGTTGAGTTTTCGATTCGATAATCACTTTGCATATCCTGCAACCATCAGTTTGTACATCTTCGGTCATTAGATCATGGTCTGATTATAGCGATTGATATTGATGAAGGCAAACATGCCAAAAATAACTGCTTGCTGAATTATGAACGGCAATCACTTTTCACCTTCTTTGTTGATCTGCTCTGTGCGTACCAACATGTTTAAACCTTCTGAAATTCAGGCCTGTTTGATCCACTTTCAGCTGCTCCAAGCTGATGACAGGCAGCGGTTTCCATGCAGCTGTAAGCTGTTGTAACTTCCTATTAGGTCTGTTTCTCTCTTAAATTATTCACTCTTTTTTAGTGCTCTTTTTCACCCAGTATTTATCATATACCTTATATCTATACTTGTACGGTTATTGTATTAAAGTGCAACTACTATACATGGCTGATACAGTGATATGGTTTATGATATGATGTCTTCCAGCATTAGAGATGAGTTCCTCCTATATGAAGGACCAACTCTGCCATATTTAAAAATAAATACAGAAATAAATAAATGCTCAATAAATGTATAAGCATACAATTAATTGCCAACAAAAATACAATAAACAAATAAATGTAAGTAGAAATTAAATTATAAAGTGAGACATAAATGTATATAACTCTTAATTAGCTTCTTTATTTATTTGCCTTTGTAATATTTACCTCATTTATTTTTCTGTCCTTTATAATCTTCAACTTTATTTTTAATTACTTATATTTTTAAGTATTTATTTATGTGCATGTTATAATATTTTTGTCTGTTTTATTCTTCCTTTGTATTTTTTTACCTTAGTTATTTCTTCGCCGCTGTTTATTTCTCTATGCCCTTTTTACATTTCTCTCTGCCCTTTTTATATTTCTCTCTGCCCTTTTGACATTTCTGCCTGTCATATTAACATTTCTGTATGCATTTCTATCTCATTATGCAAATGAGGAGGGGGTGTGTCCTAGAGAGTCAACTTCTGCTCATTGGTTGGCTTGGCGGCCCGTCTTCTTAACTCACAGAGCTCAGAGTACTAAGTTAAATGTTCTCTTTTCTGTTGCTGTTGTTCAATAAAAGTACGTTTTAAGATCATTTGAGGTGAGAACCTTATACTTTAAGCATCACCATATGGCCCATTCACAGATTTAATGCGTAATTTAAAAGAAAATGTGACGAACTTGAGAGGACCGTGGCAACCAGCGGAGCTCCTAAGCTGACGGCAGCCAGGTCTAACCACAGCCCATCTGCAGCGGCCCTCTCTCGGCATAGCCGTGTGTGAAGCGTGTTGGTCAACATTTTACTACATCGGTCGAATCTACAGGAGGAGAGTCTGATGACGAGTCTGAAGTCATTAGAACTTGAGTAGGGACTTTGCCAAACTTTGCCAAATACAACAAAAAATCGCCATCATAGCCTGGCTATAGACCTGGCTGCCGTCAGCTTCGGAGCTCCGCTGGTTGCCACGGTCCTCTCAAGTTCGTCACATTTTCTTTTAAATTACGCATTAAATCTGTGAATGGGCCATATGGTGATGCTTAAAAGTATAAGGTTCTCGCCTCAAATGATCTTAAAACGTACTTTTATTGAACAACAGCAACAGAAAAGAGAACATTTAACTTAGTACTCTGAGCTCTGTGAGTTAAGAAGATGGACCGCCAAGCCAACCAATGAGCAGAAGTTGACTCTCTAGGACACACCCCCTCCTCATTTGCATAATGAGGCAGAAAGCATAAGAGAAATGTAAAAAGGGCAGAGAGAAATGTAAAAAGGGCAGAGAGAAATAAACAGCGGCAAAGAAATAACTAAGGTAAAAAAAATACAAAGGAAGAATAAAACAGACAAAAATATTATAACATGCACATAAATAAATACTTAAAAATATAAGTAATTAAAAAATAAAGTTGAAGATTATAAAGGACAGAAAAATAAATAAGGTAAATACTACAAAGGCAAATAAATAAAGAAGCTAATTAAGAGTTATATACATTTATGTCTCACTGTATAATTTGATTTCTACTTACATTTATTTGTTTATTGTATTTTTGTTGGCAATTAATTGTATGCTTATACATTTATTGAGCATTTATTTATTTCTGTATTTATTTTTAAATATGGCAGAGTTGGTCCTTCATACATCATGGCACAATAACGCCCTGCAAAGGCTGCATCCTATCACAGCATCAACCTGGGCTTCAGTAAGCTCCTGGAAGCGACTTATTATTTCACAGATGTTGTAGAAGCAGCCTGCGTGTCTGAAGGTGCTTCGTTTTTATACACTTTGAGTGAATGTTTTCAGCCGAATAGTTTAGCTGTCTGGATCCTCTTGGTAATGAAGGTTTTTATGAGAGGATGAGGTCATAAAGAGGTCAAAGAAAAATCTCTAAGTCATATTTCTGATTGTTTTGCAAGGAAAGTTAAAAAAAAAAAAAAAAACATCATGAACCTTTTATCATGACGCTTTTCTGGTACAGATGTTCTGACCCGGTTTGTTTGTCTGTTTTTCCATCCAGAGTTCGTCTCAGCAGCAGATCTGTCCTTTAAACAAACCAAAAACTCCGTCCTTCAAGGACTGGGACCAGCTCCTGTTTTAGAGGCGACTGCAGAGGTGAGACTTCTTGAGTGTTCTGTTCCCAGTCGGACCCGGTTTCCCGTTTTCTACGGTAATAAATGGCTCCAGCTGAAGGTTGAATGATAGGTTCTGATGTCGTCTCCTGCAGGATTCTCTGACTGCTGCTGCAGATAAGCGAATCCAACCAGATGAGGACGTCGTTGTGATCAAAGTGGACAGAGAGGAGGAGAAAGATGTCCACAGATCTGAGGAGCAGCTGCTGAAAGGCAACGGTGAGAAGGAAGGGGAGGAAAAATGAAGTTTGGTTCCTTTAAATGTTTCTGTTTTCTTGTCTGAGACCGTTTTTCCCTCTGGTCTGTGTTCAGGAACGGAGGCGCTGCCTCCAGAACCGGACCTCCATCAGGAGGGGCCGTCTGGGATAAAGATCTCTGACATCCGGTCCTGGGATCAGAGCAGTTCCTGCAGTGCCCAGGGGTCTCCGGGCCCCTCAGGGGCCGCAGAGAGCAGCTGTGCTGAGTTGGATTTTGCTTCGGAGTCGGACAGCGGCGCTCCGTCTGCAGCAGAGATGAGGAACAGCTTCCTCCTGAAACCAGGAGGGAGCCCGGCGTCTCTGCCTGGAATCCCGGACCTGAAGCGAGGCTCTACCCTGATTGGCTCCCTTCCCTGTGATGTAGAGCTGGATCCAGGCTCCTCCTGGAACAACCAGGGCCTCCCCAGCATGGTGCCCCTCCCCCACCGTTCCGTGCTGCTGGCGCTCAGCGGATCCAGACTGGACCCTCTGGAGCTCAGCAGGTTCTGCAGGGACCAGCGCTTCGCCTGCAACTATTGCGGCAAATGTTTCACGTCGTCGCGGAGCCTGGAGACGCACGTGCGTGTCCACACGGGCGAGCGGCCGTACAGCTGCGCCCAGTGCGGGAAGCGCTTCACGCAGTCGGGTCACCTGAAGACGCACCAGAGCGTGCACACGGGGGAGAGGCCATTCCCCTGCGAGCAGTGCGGGAAACGGTTCGCAGCCAAGCAGAACTTGAGGATCCATCAGCAGAAACACCACGTGGCTCCGCTTTGACTCTGACAGACAGAACCCTGAACTGAGAGAAAACAGACCGGGTTACTGTGAGAGACGGACCGGAACCTCAAAGAACTGATGCTTTTGATCTTTTATTTATTGCTTTTAAGACGTTTGAGTGGAAAAGCTCGGTCAGACCCTCCAGACTTCTTCTAACTGCCTTTTTATTCACTTTATCTTAATCTCATAAGTAGATTGACATTCCAGTAGCATCCTTCTTATATCCTTTAAATTTGCATGTGTGGTTCTGAAATATGGGGAGAGTCAGTACCTGGAAAACCATTCAGAAATTTAAGTTTCCTTTTTTTTTGTAGAGTTTCATTGATTTCTCTGACATCCAGGAGAAAGTGGACGATGAAAAGGGAGGATTTTCTGTCTCCAGGTAGGATCTGTGATGAACAGCAGCTTCTCAGCATCAGCACCAAGGAACATCTCAGTTCTTGCTTCCATGCAGATCTGCTCAGATACTTCCATCCAGTCGTTGAAGTGAATCTGTCATCAGGTTTATTCTACTGATTGAATTCAAAGGCTCTTTTTCCCCATGAGTAAACAACACGTAGGTACAGAAGTTGAAATTTGCTCTAGATTTCCTCTGCTTGTCAATATACAATCAGCCTAGAGGCACAGGCTAAGATCGGGGCTTAACTGTACCTGTTTACAGTTTTACCTAATCTTGGGTTTGAAATAAAGCCCAGAATTCAGTCTGGAAAATTGGCAGCAACTCATGTGAGCAAACTAAAAGGATCCATGGTTGGAGGGGGACACACACTGAGCCACAAGGACAACACTGGGGAAAAAAACAGTTTTTCTTAAAATAAGTGCATTTGTTCTTGGATTGAGGAGGTAAAAGAGACATTTTGCCATTGGAACAAGACAATTTACACTTAAAATAAGAAAACACAATTATTTCAAGTGAATCTAAATATGTTATCTTAAGAGTAAAAATACTAATTCCATTGACAAACTCATTTACCTTCTCAAATTAATGATAAATACACTTAATTTAAGAAATTTCTACTTATTTCTAGATCGTTTTTCCAGTGAAGATGTTTGGAGATAAGGCTCATAATTCTTAGAATGCAGCACCAACTTTTAAGCACGGTGGAGAAGGTGTTATGCTATGCATAGAGCAAATGGAAAAAACTTTAAATGAAATGTTTATGGTTGACATATGAATCATGAATCTGCCTGGATTAGAGAGAAAAAAAATCTAATTCCAACTATTTCTAAAATGAATCTTTATTGTAAAATCCTTCCTCCTTAATAAAGCCTAAATAAATCATGCTTTTCAGTCCTTTCCTGGTATTTTCTGTTGCTGTGTGTAAAGTGGTTCTAGTTTTCTCTATATCATTCGGTGTGTTCAAATTCGTAGGCTGTGTCCTCCGAAGGCCAGATTTGTAGGCCGATTGCGTCATAATGCGGCTCCAAGGTCTGGTCTGATTCCTGGACTCCTCGTTATGCGGCCTACAAATGCGTATCTTCTTCTTCCCCAATTTGAAGGATGGGTCCAGTGTATCCTACGTACACTTGGTTTTCCCAGGATTCATTGCAAGACCAAGCACTCCAGCTGCTCCGTGCTCCGAGGAAAAGGCTACTTCGTTCGCACCAAACAGTGGTGAATATTGGAAGTTCAGTTTAATATAATACAACTCTGTGAATAGTTCCGTCTGAAATGAATGAAAATGGCTGTTTTAATGGTTATTGAGTCAGATATGTGGCGGTAATTTTTGATTTATCTAAAGGTTTTTATCTCTTACTGTGTAAATCAGTTTGGCTGTAATTTAAAGACAGATTCTAATATAGCTGCAGTGTGGGGACTATAAATCTGATAGGATTTTTATTTTTTAATTGCTATTTTGCACAATTTGCTTAACTAAGTATGTTTTGTTGTTGAATATGAGATTTTGCAGATATATTTATTATACATACTTTGTTTAGATTTACTTATATATTTCTACCCCTTTTATAGAACAGAATAGAAAATCCCTTTATTGTCCCACAATGAGGAAATTCTGCTGTTTACAGCAGCAGAAAATGTATGAGAATAACATAATATTGAAGAGTTAAAAGACAAATAATAAACGGCTGTACTGTAAAGTGTTTTAACAATATAAAAATTGCACATGGAGAATAAATAACCAATTACAGCTATAAACATTTTTATGGTAATGTATATGTGAAAATAGCAGCAACATCGCAGAAGGCTAGACGTGTTTGAATTCTTCCGGTCTCCTTATTTTCAAAGTACCTAGTCCAGGTAGACTGCGTCCTTGGTAGACGCAGCCATGGATTCGAACGCACCCAGTGATTTCCTAACTTGGGGGAGGGGGGGGGTCCTTGATCAACAGAGGCGTAAAAATTAACAAGCAAAACATCCATATTTTCTAAATAAAGACAAACTATACTTTCCCACAGCCTTTGCTAATGAATAGATGAATATATTCAAACATCTGTGCTTTCCCGATAAAAGGTATAGTGGATAAAATTCAGTTTTGGGCGAACATCTTTTCCATTTTCATTACTTACCTACTTTTATCAGTAATCATTCTGCATAAAATTGACATTTACAGGCACTAATATCTACATAAATTGATTATTTAATACGTTTTTATTAAAATAGTTATTTCACCCCATAAAGCACAAAATCTATTTCTGCTTGAATTCTGTACTTATCATTTTTAAATTTAGTATATTGATGTACATAATTAACCACAGTGTTTTTGTTGTTAAGTAATTGTTAAAATATGAAAAATTAAAATGTTTTGAATATTCCACTTGAGATTATTACTTTTGCCACCATCTGTATTGGAGGGAAATTGTCATGATCGGCAGGATTTCTAGCCCAGATGCAGAACACACACACAGAGGCAGGAGAAAAAGTCCAAAGGTTTATTGCATACAGAGCAGGATTCTTCCTGGAAGGCAGAGAGGACAAACAGGTCAGGTGCAGATTCAGGTTCTAGGGAGTCAGACAGGCAGGCTGGCTGGCTTGGGCTTGCTAACCACAACAGGGTCAAAACAATCCGGCTCAGAGTGGAGCTCTCCTCCAGTTTATGAAGGGAAAAACCCCTAATGAGCTGATGGGGAAAACCTGCTACAGCTGAACACAAGCTCTCAGGAAGGATCTATGGCGCCCTCTGGTGGGCAAGCCTCTGGATCCTGACAGAAATAAATGGTAGGAGTGGCCAATGATTGGCTGGTCCCCCATCTAGCTCCACCCCTGTTGATCAAACAGTTGAGGTTATTATTTAAAATAAAAATTAAACCTACAGTGTGATTTTTGCGACATTTAATGGTCAGACTGAAGCACCATGAACAAAACCTCAACCCCCAACAATACAGATACTGTCATGGTACAACATGATAGATAATGTTATAGTTTTTTATTAGTCTGTGTAGATTTAATAAAGGCATAATTTACCACAGTCACATTTCAGCGTGAAAATGAGGATCTCTACGGTTACTAGTTTGTCAGCTCTGGGCTGCCATATCACAAAGATTTCTGCCTCAATTGAGACCTGCTTCTATATAATTACTGATAACAACACAAACATAAAGATTGAGACTTTCCGTTCATAGCTGATGATAAATAATTTACTTATAGGTAATATTTTACAACTCTGTAAGTAAATCCCTGTAAAAAAAAAAACAACAACACTGTGGCATTAAACAAAACATCAAAATTTGTGTTGTGTTAAAGATATACAATCACTTAAAATGGAAAAAATAGATATATTTTGGTTGTTGATGCTCTTTGTAATGTTAATCCACAAGTGGTGAATGTTCTTTCTTATGGTATACTTTACCAATAATTCAGATTACGAGTCAGTTTCGATAGCCTTTGTGGCTCAGAAGCTGAAATTTTTGGGGAACTCTGCTTGAATATTTAATGTAATTTATTTATTTGACAGGGACAGTGTATATTAAAAAACATTCCTTCAAATACACAACAAATAGTCAAAAGACTATTTTTCACCTTTTATCCCTGGACAGATCTTAACGTTGTCTACCTAAAACACAAAAAAAACAAAACAGTAAGCATTTTATAATGAAAAATACAAATATGAAGGAGACAATTAAAACAGCTACAACAGCTTAAAAATACAGAATAAATGTTCGCTGAATTAAGTTTCCTGTTCTTGGCTATCATGGTGAGTTTAATCAGGCAGATTACCATTTTATTGTTTGTGTTTTGATAGAGTTTACTTATCTTGTTCTTGTTATTTTTATCAAAATAGTTTAATTTGAAACATTCATTTTATTTTGAAATAGAAACTATCCGGAAGTGACGCGGCTTAGAAGGCAAAACATGCGTCTCTCTTTGTAGTCTTCGACATTTTATGTAGTCCAAACGTGGAGAGTGGCCTGTCCTCGTTGTCTCGGATGGTTTCTAAGGTCGTTTTGGGTTCGTGAGTTCGCTCAGGAGCTGGTTCTGTTCGGTCGCGGTTCTGTTGGAGCGTCGGGATGTCGGTTCTGAGCAGCAAAGCGCTCCAGGAGCAGCTGTCCGTCATCCTGGGAGCGCTGACCAAGGCGGCGCTGGTGGAGATCTGCGAGCTGGTGGAGGAGGGCTACTGTGCTCTGCAGCTGGAGATCAGCCGGAGTCACAAGGAGAACCAGGACCTGAAGAAGAAGCTGCACCTCATAGAGTCCATCGTGGCCAGGGGCGGAGAGAGCAAGGCGGCGGCTCCGGAGGAGGGAACCGGAGGGACAAAGGCCGCTGCCCGGGCAGAAACACCGCAGGGACAGCGGGACAGGGACAGCGGGGAAGCCGCTTCTGGACCCGGAGGAGCCGCGGTGGAGCTGGAGGAGGTAACAGACCAGATCTGGGACCGCAGGAACCAGAGCTTGATTGAAATCATTTAACTGATGTAGAGAAACTGGAATTTATCAGCTTGGTTATTTTATGTGATTCCCAGGGGCGATCAAAAGGTCTATGAGGCCCTGAGCAGATTAATAGGTGGCCCAACCAGCCTGCTTTCTATATTCCAATTTTTTTTTTTTTGGTAGGATTATTCTCTTTCATCCAGTATAAAACCCATGGAATAATAATCCAGATTGACGAGACTGCCATTATCATATTAACTCAGAAGTTTAACAGTAATAGTTATGTTATCTTTTATCCTTTATTTAAAGGGAAAAGCAAGCACCAAGGAATGATCAATGGATCATTATCTATAGCCTACCTAAAAATAATACGTTAGCTTGGATTTAATGAATTTATATTTATATTTGCCCAAATATAGTAACACCTTACTCCTGGCATCTTCCGGCAGTGACATCACAGTACAGTAAGCCGAGCGCCATTCTCCCCGCTTTACAAGCAAAATCAATGGGAGCTACTAGACACATCTGCAACCAACAACAATTATTGAAGATTTCGTGAGGACTTCACCACTGATATTTGGGATCATAATCATTCATCGGGTAAAAGCGGGGAAAAAAATCAGTTATTTCACCTTTCCGATTCATGATCCTCCACGGACAGGTTACTGCGGTCTCGGTCGTTAGATTGCCAATTTGAAGGGGGAGGGTTTACCATCAAACTTCTGGCCAGAGAAAAAAACATGTAATATGTAGCCAACATTTGGAAGAAAGAATGTTTTCAAGATGATTTGGATAATAGTGCTTTGTGACAAACACCAGATACAGCAAGACTTGATCAACAGCCGATACCACACCATGATGTCACAAACTAGTAGGTGGCGGCAGTGTTTGATAAACATGCCTCTAGTGAAGGACTTTAAATAGTCTTAATTAAAAACACATCTTTTATTGAACAGTATGTAATAATTTAATTTTAGAGTACTAATATGACAAATGATTTTTATTTCAAACAGTATTTAAAATAATCTAGGATCATCCTGGGTATGCAGCTGTTTAACCTCTTGATCATCATTTCGCTTTAGTTAATCACACACTAATTTATCACACAGGTCAGCTTTGCTAATGTTTAATAAATAATATAAAGTCTTTAATGTTTTACGGTTCACCCAGCAAAATTAGTGTTATTTTGTGATTTAATATTTATTTTGTTTTAATATTTATAATAGATTGGTCAGTATTACCATGGATGTCAGCTCTGACTGATGGAGATCCATTAGTCTCTCTCTGGGCTTTCAGCTGATTGCTTTTTTTTTTTCCTGCTCACAGTGCGAGAATTTTAATCGCATTTTTACCTAAGAGTAGATTGGTGTGAGTAGGAAAGGAAAAACAGAGCAGGCATGCAAGTACTGATTGATTTCACCCTTTCCATTCGCGTTTTGCTCCTAAAATAAGTCCTTGATTTTAGAAAGATGTCCACTAGTTTTTTTTATAAAAGAAAATAAGAAAGGGGAGAAATTTCCTTAAAACCAAATGGTAAATATTTTAGGTTAGGAGATGTCACAGTTGCCATAAAGATTTCCTTTTGTCGCTGTCATTTAACAACTTTTCAGACATCTCTAGCACTTTTATTTTTAAAATGTGCCAAATCAAGTGACTTTTTTCTGTTAATGGAGACTTTGGAGATAACACATAAAAGCGCTGAACTCTGTCCTCCTGAGCGAGGAGCGAGTGGATCCGTAACACCGCCCCCCTCTCTTTCTCTGTCACTGCCAGCTGTGTTCAGGCTGCCTGGAGCTGCAGCAGAGGGAGAGAAGCTAAGCTAAGCTGCTGCACTAATTTAAAGCACTTACTCCATCACTAGCTGGTGCTTTTTTATATTTCTCTCCCTTTCTGCTCTATGGAGGACTGTGGTGGTCCGTCCAGTAAGACACAAGGACAAAGGCATATAAAAAGTATTCTCTATTTATTTTCCAAAAATAATCTTCACAAAAGAAGGGCTTACATCAAACCTCAAAAAAATATAACAAAATGTACCCAAATGAAATAAACTAAGGCATACCTAACTCAGGATAACAAACCAAAAAAAAAACTGACTTCACAATGAACACACAGGGGAATTTATACACAAAGGCTAGCCTACACAAACGAGGAGGGGTGGGAGATGAGACAGAGACAAACAATGCATAAACATAAATAACTAATTCAAACTAACACCTTTTGACTATAACACAACTATCAAAAGAAAACAACATAACGCCAAAAATGTTTTAACAATTATGCCATAAGTGGAGAGAGAGAAGCAGACTAATATCCAGTCCCCTGCTTCCAGCAGCCTGATGGTATGTCCCACTTCCTGGTTTGCCTTCCAACCAGTCCTCTCCACTCAGCCAGTCCTTCAACTACTGAAGAAAAGATGGAGGAACCTCCACACACTCCCCCTCTTCTGGAAGCTCCATGGGCCAGCGTGACAGGTAGTCGGCAGTAGTGTTCAGCTTCCCAGGGATGTGATGGACATCAAACTGAAACGGTTGCATCGCCAGGTACCAGCGGGTTATCCTGCTGTTTGAGTCTTTCATCCTTTCAAGCCATTTCAGAGCCTTGTGATCCATTTCTAGGATGAACCGTGTCCCCAACAGATAATATTTGAGTGAATCCAAGGCCCACTTCACAGCTAGGCACTCCTTTTCTATGGTGGAGTATCGAGTTTCTCTTGGGTAGAGCTTTCTGCTTATAAAAGCAATAGGATGGCGCTCCCCTGGAGGCCCTTGAAGAAGCACTGCTCCCAGCCCACGCCCAGATGCATCAGTTTGCAGAATAAATGGCCGGTCAAAATCAGGACAGTGTAATGTTGGAGGTCCACTCAAGGCGCCTTGGATGTCCTTAAATGCTCTCTCTGCCTCCTCCGACCACTGTAGCTGATTGGGTTTCTTGGGACTGGTCATATCTGTAAGCACAGCAGCTCTGGCAGAAAAGTTTGGAATGAACTTATGGTACCAACCTGACATCCCAAGGAAGGATTTCAGCTGTGTCCTGGTTTGCGGCAGAGGACATGACTGAATTGCTTGAACCTTCTGGATCTGTGGTTTGATGACTCCATTGCCAATAATGTGTCCGAGATATTGAACTTCTGTCTTGGCAACGGTGCATTTAGTTGCATTAACAGTGAGACCTGCAGCATTAAGAGACTCAAAAACAGCCTTGAGATGTTGCAGATGGTCCTCCCAGCTGTTACTGTAGATGACAATATCATCCAAATAGGCAGATGCAAAGTCTGAAAAACCATCCAGTACCTTATCCATAAGTCTCTGAAAGGTCGCAGGTGCTCCATGAAGCCCAAAAGGCATGACGGTGAACTGATAGAGACCCCAAGGTGTCCGGAAGGCGGTCAGCTCACAAGACCTGGTGGTAAGGGGAACCTGCCAATAACCCTTAGAGAGATCAATGGTGGTCAGATATTTTGCTCTTCCAAGACAGCAAATCAAGTCATCAATACGGGGAGTTGGATACGAATCAAATTTGGAAACAGAATTTAAATAGCGGAAGTCTATACAGAACCTCATGGTGCCGTCCTTTTTTGGAACGAGGACAACAGGATTACACCAGTCACTGTATGAAGTCTCAATGATGCCCAGAGACAGCATTAATTCAATCTCTTCTTTTAAAGGGCCAAGGAGACGCTCAGGGATCCGGTAGCTTCTTCGTTTCACAACTGCATTTTCTTTCAGGTGAATATCATGTTTACAGGTGCTGGTCATAAAATTAGAATATCATGAAAAAGTAGATTGATTTCAGTAATTCCATTTAAAAAGTGAAACTTGTATATTATATTCATACATTACATACAAACTCATATATTTCAGATGTTTATTTTGTTTAATTTTGATGATTACAAATGACAACAAATGAAAATCTCAAATTCATCATATCAGAAAATTAGAATATTACTGAAGACCAATAAAAACAAAGGATTTATAGAAATGTTGGCCAACTGAAAAGTATGAACATGAAAAGTATGAGCATGTACAGCACTCAGTATTTAGTTGGGCCTCCTTTGGCCTGTATTACTGCAGCAATGCGGCGTGGCATGGAGTCGATCAGTCTGTGGCACTGCTCAGGTGTTATGATAGCCCAGGTTGCTCTAATAGTGGCTTTTAGCTCTTCTGAATTGTTGGGTCTGGTGTATTGCATCTTCTTCTTCACAATACCCCATAGATTTTCTATGGGGTTAAGGTCAGGAGAGTTTGCTGGCCAATTAAGAACAGGGATACCATGGTCCTTCAACCAGGTACTGGTAGCTTTGGCACTGTGTGCAGGTGCCAAGTCCTGTTGGAAAATGAAATCTGCATCTCCAAAAAGTTGGTCAGCTGCAGGAAGCATGAAGTGCTCTAAAACTTCCTGGTATGTGGCTGCGTTGACCCTGGACCTCAGAAAACACAATGGACCAACACCAGCAGATGACATGGCACCCCAAACCATCACTGACTGTGGAAACTTTACACTGGACTTCAAGCAACGTGGATGAAGTGCCTCTCTTCTTTTCCTCCAGACTCTGGGACCTTGATTTCCAAAGGAAATGCAAAATTTACTTTCATCAGAGAACATGACTTTGGACCACTCACCAGCAGTCCAGTCCTGTTTCTCTTTAGCCCAGGCAAGACGCTTCTGACGCTGTCTGTGGTTCAAGAGTGGCTTGACACAAGGAATGCGACAGCAGAAACCCATGTCTTTCATACGTCTGTGTGTGGTGGTTCTTGAAGCACTCACTCCAGCTGCAGTCCACTCTTTGTGAATCTCCCCCACATTTTTGAATGGGTTTTGTTTCACAATCCTCTCCAGGGTGCGGTTATCTCTCTTGCTTGTACACTTTTTTCGACCACATCTTTTCCTTCCCTTCGCCTCTCTATTAATGTGCTTGGACACTGAGCTCTGTGAACAGCCAGCCTCTTTAGCGATGACCTTCTGTGTCTTGCCCTCCTTGTGCAAGG